GGAAGAACCCTGAAACTCCATATAGGAAGTTTACCACTGTGCAGCCATCAGTGCACTACTATAAAGGTTTCAAAAGTTACATTTGCAAAGGGGTTTCTGAGATTATGTCTTTTAATTCGGTAATTTCCATACTACATTCAGGTGTTAACACATGCAAAGGAGGAGAAACACCGACAACGATTTTAGAGAAGTAGCCCATCAGTCTGGAAAACAGTTTGGACCTAGGCACTCTACAGTAAGAACAATTAATATAAAAGAAAAACATTTAAGATGAATCTCAATTTATCAAGAAGAAGGTAATCAATACTTCTCCTTTAACATTTATATACCTTTAGTACCAACAACCACCACAACCCCCACCAGCCCCCCAGCACCCATCCCCCCCACTTACTCTTGAGGCACAGGACATGTGGTAGGTGCTCTGTGCAGTGAACCCCAGGAAGGCTGCAGGTCCAGATGGCGTACCTGGGAAGGTGCTACAGGGCATGTGCTTGGCAGCTACCACAGGTCTTCATAGACATCTTCAACCTATCTCTGGAACAAGCTGTCATCCCACCCTGCTTGAAGTCTGCTATAATCATCCCGATCCCTAAAAAGTCACCCACGACCAGCCTCAATGACTTCCGCCCCATAGGACTCACTCCAGTCATCACCAAATGCCTAGAGAAACTGGTTTTGAGACACATCAAAGCCTGCCCCCCCACCCCCCCACCCCCACCCTGCATCCGCACCAGTTTGCATACCGGACAAACAGATCCACCGAAGACGCCATAGCCATCGCTCTCCACTCAGCACTGAGTCACCTGGAGCAACGGGAGAGCTACGTCAGGATGCTCTTCATTGACTTCAGCTCAGCTTTTAACACAATAATACCGGACATTCTGATCCCCAAGCTAACCAACCTGGGGGTCCCACCACCCACCTGCTCCGGGATAAAGAACTTTTTGATCAACCGACCCCAGCAGGTGAAACTGGGTCCTCACTTCTCTTCTTACCGCACTCTCAGCACTGGCTCTCCACAGGGCTGCGTGCTGAGCCCACTACTCAACTCCCTCTACGCATCCGACTGCAGTCCCGCCCACCCAGAGAACATCATCAGCAAGTTCGCTGATGACTCAACGGTGGTGGGGCTGATTACAGGGGGAAATGTGGCCTACAGAGATGAGGTCCTGAAACTTGGCGGGTGGTGCGCATCAAACAACCTGGCACTAAACATCAACAAGACTAAGGAACTCATCCTGGACTTCAGACGGAAGAAAGCCACCCCTTGCCCCCCCAGTACATCAACGGTGAATGTGTAGAGTGAGTGGAGTCCTTCAAAACCTATAAAAAGGATGCTAGCTCACCCAACTCAAGAGAGATGTTCATGAGACATGACTCTGAATGGATGTTATATTTCTTTGTTTGGTCTGATTATTGCTGCTATACTCTACTTGTGACTTTCCTGGTACTGGAGCTGGCTCCATCCACCGTCTGCACTCCTGATCAGCATCCACACTCCGCTATCAACCGCCATTGTTTCCACCTGACCCCACCTGCATTTAAGCTCCATCTCAGCCAGCCTCCAATGCCAGAATTTTAGAGCCAACCCGGTGAGAACTTCCGGCATTCATTCCTGATTATCTGTCTGCCTGCCTGTTACCCGACCTGTCTCTGACTTTGATTGCCGAGCCTGCCTGATCCCTTTCTGATTTGTCTGCCTGCCTGAGACCTGCTCCGCCAGCCTCTGGATCCTGACTGCCCGCCCTGGTTTCCGACCCTGCCTGCCCGTGACTACGAGAACCTGCTTGGACTTGGATCCCCTTTTGGATTTACCCCTGGTACCATCGCTGGATTTATTGGCCTACCCGTTACCGGACCCGGACTTCCCTGACTACGCTTTCGGATTACCCCGTGCTTCCCTCTATAAACCTTGCTTAACTGACTGATTGGCTTTGGGTGTCTTTGGGTCTGAACACAGATCGTTACACTACTACTACAAATCACAAACAGTGAATAAATTATTCCTTTGCTGATTATATTTATCCCAGCCCTGAATATCCTTAACTATTGTGACTATTTTGATCAAATGGTCACACTTACTTTGTTAAGTTGTTAAACTTTTATTTAGTAAAAGAAAAGAAAATGGATAGCAGCAAATTCCCCTCCATGTTTGTGCTTGTGTCCCAAAAACTAGCATCAGTTCCGAATTCTTTTCATTTATACTTTAGGCCTTTGGGTGAGGGGATCCATGTGCTGACCAGGAAGGATCACAGGAACCAAGGATCTTAACAGCTAAGCAGTTTATTATAGATACTAACAAAATGCCAGGCCAGATACAAAACTGTACCGGAGGAGAAAGCATTTCAAGAGACGGCAATGTATGGCAGTAACTCACTCGTCAAACCATTAGTTAAAATCCTTGTTAGTGTTTCATAGGTTATTCACGGGGTAATAACAGCCCAGTCTCTCAACTTCTGCATCGAAGAGGCTGACATGTGGGATGGTTGCCTTCAAACAACTCAAGTGCAGATCCATCTATTATCAGCATTATCGAAATGCTATCCCAC